TTTATCCAGAGTCGAATTTCGATAGAGTCTGTCTTGCATAACAAAGTCAACACCAAATTCGCGCTGCTTTATATGGTCGGTAAAGTAAGCTTCACAAGTATCCTCCTTCTTTCGTCCATGGACAACGACACTATCAGCGTTGATGGAAATCTTAAGTCGCAGGAGGTCTATCCACTAGCTGGGTAGTGGCACATCTTAACTAGGCGAACAGTCATTCGATGGGCTTGCGCTAAAATCGCGATCTATATAACGTTTGCGGGGGTCGTCACCATCAATCCATCATCCGAGCCTCTTTGTACTTTTTTATTAGGGCAGACCTTTGATGTGGCTACCCAAAGGACATTTGATCTTAGAGCGAAAGGCGTGAGCTGTAAAAAAGGCAATTCTGCTCCCTTCCAAGGAAATAACAGTCAAAAACATACCTCACTTGCGTAAACTTTTCTTTCTTTACAAGGTCAGATGCTCCAAAGCTATGAAACCTCCCCCATTCTTTAGAAAAATGATCACATCCTCCAGCAAACACCACATCTGTTTGGCTACTTATTCTGGCTGCAGTTGCTTTGCCGCAGTACGAGGTAAGTGTAGAATATCTTAATAGCTAGCCGGACGTATAGTTTCCTGGGTATCCAAACCACGGCCACTTCACCTTTGGTTGAGAGTCTGTTAATTGCTTCCCGATTTTTTGTTTCCCTTCGATTGACCGTAATCGGTTCTTTGACCACAGCTCCATTAAGTAACCACGAGGCAACAGTGAGTTCTCGGGTGATCCTGTCTTTGTCACAAGTAATCTCCAGCGCATATCCATGCCGAACAGTGCACTTCAAATATCTTTTACCCATTTGCTCTGTGGCAAATGGAATCAGCCGCCGAATCCAACCGTTGTTCCCAACGCACTTGTGGCAGGTAAAGCTTTACTATTCTCTTTCTAAAACTGACAAACTATCTGCAGACTTTAGTTTCGTGAATGAAATTGATCTCGGCTTATCAACAACAACAACAACAACAACAACAACAACAACAAAAGAAACTATAACAACGACAACAACAACAAGAGCAACAACAACAACAACAACAACAACAACAACAACAACAAAAGAAACTATAACAACGAACGTGACAACCAAAACCAACGCAAATTTGAGTCGTTATACGACTGACATGGAGTGCGAAATGTGCACTGACATGACGGTCAGCACGCACATGTGAATGGGCTAAAGGAGTAAAAATGAAACGTGATACGCATGCGCTAATGCCCAGCAGACAAACACGTTCACACAACTAGATATGAGTGTGGAAATACTAAGGAGAAAATAGTAGCGTCTGAAAGACCTTAAGCAAACTACATTTGTACGGGCAGGGGCTTTCCTTCCTTTCGATGTTGAAGATCCAACTATTTTGATTGACTTCGCAGCTTCGACTTCGACTTTAAGTTCGTTAAGGTAAAAGCAACTCCGTATTAACTCCTTCAAAGCAGTTTATGTAGCGCTCTGGATGGGTCTAACGTCGTTCTTCGAGTAGTGTTTTCGGCGCCCACAACTTAGAGTCGCCTATAGAAAATTTAGAAAGTTCGTTCTCGTCTCTGTTTCCAAGGAACACACCTCGTGACGTTCCTATTGCACTACACCAGAGCTCGCATCCTTATACAATACATACATACCTCAATCTCCTTTCCATGTTTCCGTCAGTTTGGCTACACTCGCTTGTGATATGCTAAAGTCTACCCACAGAGTTTTGCCGATCACTGAGATGATTAAAGTAAAATGATTAGCAACAGAAACAATGTGCGCTGTACGAAGCCAACAACAACTTGCTAATCATGTGAAAAGAGGAAAGTGTGTGAGAAGAAGAGAATGCTGGTCAAGAAAACCTACGCGCTAAACTTCTTAACAAAGCTAAGCACAGTCGTGCAGTTCTAACATTGAACTTTTTTCTGCAATCTTGTGGTTGTTGCTATTGTTGCTGTTTGTTGCTGTTGCCTTATGTCGTAACTTGTTCGTTTTTCTCGTCTGGAGGATGTGACTAATCAATGTGTGACGCCTGTGGCTCAACTCTCATCCCAACTCTTACGCCGTTGCTTTTTTATCTCTACGACCGTTTACTTGTTGTTATTACCGTTGTTAATGCCACAGACAGTTTTGTTTTGCCTATGCCATGTGCCAATAACCATGGGGGACCTTTATCTAACTTCGAATACACGAATATGGTTTTTTTTGTTGTGGCTAAGTAAGCAGGGATGCATGTGCGTGTATGTATGTATGTTTCTTATGAGGTATTCACTTATGGCTGTTTTGTGTGTGTATATGTGTGTGTGTGTGCCTTAGAGTTTGCGTCTCTCTAATACTCGTACGTCTGGGCTATGCGGTGGATCATGGCGTTCGTAAGGCATTTTCTAATTTGATTAGTTTCGGTCGCGACTTGTTGGCGATTTGTTGCCGCATTGTCAGATGCATTCTAAGCTTATGTTGATAACAATGCTAGAAAATGTATGTAAATATGTTCGGCCATAAATTTTAGTATGCGTTATGAGAACACGGAGGCGCCAGGACTTTTTTTTACAGAGGGAACTGAAGAAATATACCCATGACCATGTGGGCCCTAACTTCTTCGTCAACTTCTTAGTTGGCGTAAGCATTGCTTACGTGAACCTTGTGTAATCAACTATAGCTTGCCTAGTGAAGTCTGGTCCTTCACTGATTGATTTTCCCAAAATGGAAATAGGGAATGTACTCGGCTTCGTCGTGACCTGGCCAGGGTAGTGCTGTTGTTGTTGTTGTTGTAACCGCAAAATATTCCCCGAATTGGTTTTTGTGGAACATTGCGGGAGTGACAGTCCTTGGCCGGATAAAAATCCACATCTTTCCGGTATAAACATCCGACTGTTGGGGGAACTATTAGATTTTAGTCGCTTCGTACAACAAGTATGCCTTATCACGGGTCGCTGAACTTTGCCAGTGTTGCCAAGTTCTTTGTTCAGCTCATTATTCCATGGATTGCAAAGCTTCAGCAAGTATTATACGGAGCTTTAATAATAACCAGTCAGTAAAAAGTGTAGGAAACCGACCAAATGCCAAGCTTCACTGCGGAAATTTCAATCGGATCAGTCAGAATCCCCATTAGATGGCAAAGAGTTTCCTCTGTCCAATTTTTTTCAAAGCTCCACAGTTGTGTCTAAACCCGCTTTAAACTCAAGGCTATCGGTTGTCAGCTCTTTTCATCCAATGGTTTTGATCTTTCATTTCGGTTGCTGAGACACCTCCAATCATCCCGTGAAGGGATTACTTGATTTTAGCCTGAAAACACAACAAGTGCTCAAGCCAATGTAGCTCTCAGAAAGGAACCGCTATTCCTACTATGGCTCTGTCCCCTCGCTCTTATTCCGTGACGGATTGGTGTGGTGGAGAAAGAGTCACGTTGTGTAATTTCAGAGATGCGGTGATAACTTAAAGAAGGCAATGAGTTTAGCAACTAAACCAAAAGTTATCTTTCTCTTCTTTTGGTCAAGCAAGTGTAGTTTAGTGTTAAATTCAGACCTCTGGTTTCTCTAGTAACGTGGTATTCCCTAAGATTGATAGATAACCAAGCATCCACAATTGACATCTGTATTGGCTCGAGCAATTTATAGTGTCTATAAATAGCTGCTCCTTTTAAGAAAGAAATGCAATCACAATCGACCTCGGGCTCGGGACAGTCTGAGCTGTTACTGATTTTTGGCTATTTGGTCAATTGGATATCTCTTTTATCCTTTAAAAGGGCTCCACAGTCGGCTGAGAGGAAGGTGGTACAGCGATATTCAAGTCGTTTAAACAATTTATAGAAGCAAAACACGTCCGAAGCCTTTCCTTACCTGAATTGTTGCTATAGTATTAGATCTTCCATTTCCAGAGAGTTTAGTTGAAACACATACCCCTCCTTGAAATAAATACTGATCCACCTTTCTAGCAGTGCAAAGGTTAAACCACACATTTCAACTCTAATCACACATTCATGGAACTTTTGCACTTAGCCCCATTCATCTTAGCATGGAGTAGAATACTACTTAAACTTTCATCACCGATAACCGACAGAGCAGTCAGCAGTCAATAGTTTAGTTAGCGGTGAATTTGCGAGTGTTTTCTTTACTGTTGTTGTTATTTTAAACATATTGCATTTATTTGTTTGAAAGGCAAAAAAACTAGCAAATTACAAGCAAATTTGTTTGTGATTTTTTATTTATCTATTTTTTTCTAATTTCTTATTTTTTATTTTCTCTTTTATTTTTCATTTTTAAGTTTTTACTAATTTTTTTTTTATTATATTTATTATTATTTTTTTGTTTTTATGTAACTTATATTATTATTTTTTCTATATTTTTTACTTACTTTTTTAAATATTATTTTATTATTTTTTAGTATTTTCTTATTATTATTTTCTTTTAAATTATTTTTCTATTTTTTTATTTTTTCATTTCTCATTTGTTTTTTTTTTTTTTTATTTTTATATAAGTGAAATATTCATTCATTTATTAGTTTTTTCTCACTTTTTACTTTTTTTTTTAAATATTAAATTTATGTTTTTCAAAAATTTTTTTTATTTCCTTTTTTAGTTTTTTTATTTTATTTTAATTTTTTCTGTTTTATTTTTCTTTTATTTTATTTTTTTCTGTTTTATATTTATTTTATTTATTTTTTTTTATTTTTTGCTTACTCTTTTAAACATTTTATTTATATTGTAATTAGAAAATATTTTTTTTATTATTTTATATCATTTTAATTTTATTTTTTCATATTTATTTTTTATTATAATTTTTTTTTTTTAAATTTCTTTTATTAATTTTTTATTTATTTTTTTAAATATTTTATTTATTTTCTTAAATATTTTTTTAATTTATTTTTATTTTTAATATCTTATTTTGTTCATCGAAAACCTAACATTAATTGTGAGCTCACATCACTTGCAACATTGTATACACATAAACAGTTGTTCACTCATTCCCTTCTCCCTCTCTTTCTCTCTCTTTGCAGCATAACCGGCAGGAGTCCATCTCACCGGAATATCATCGCTATGCGAGCATTGGTAAATTGCCAAAAGCGGTGGCAGCATCACAAACAACATATACCGTTACAGCGGATATACACCACAGCGGCAACAGCAACAGCAATAGCAATAACAACAACCATAATACAAATGCGAATACTATAAGCAGCATTAGCAGCGGCGGCAGCGGCAGTAACAGTAATTGTAATACGGTCAGCAGTACGGCTAGCAGCACTAATAACAATGGTCACAACAATAGCCACAGCAACAGCAACAACAACAATATACACAATAACCATTACAACAGCCACAATAACAACAACAACAGCAATATACAACAGTCTCAACAACATCAGCAGCAGCAACAACAACCGCACTATAGCAGCACCGCCAATACCGGAGCGGGCGATGCAATCAATGCATCTTCATTCGCCACACCACCGACACGGCGACGTTTCTTTAATCATAAGAATTTGCGCAGCGCTCTAACCGGCCACCGTCGCACCGCATCGAGTGGTGGCGGTCCAACAGATGCCGCCGCTGCAACGTTACTCGCCGATGGTAAGTACATACATATATGTACATATAAACTTTGCACTCGCTGTAAAGCTCTCTGCAGCGGCTTTTAGCACTTGATTCACTACGTACGGCAGCACTACGGCACTCGTATATATGTTTGTACTCGTACATAGTCGTAGTCGTATGTCTCAAGCACTTTTGCATATTCACAAAATTTGATGGATTTTCTTAATTTTTCTTTCATTTTATTTTACTATTGGTTTTGGGCACTCGTAATGTCCATCAATTTGGTTGGTTAGAGGTGTTGGAGTTTCACATTTAAATGTTTAATTTTTTTTAATTTGTCTTCTTAGCAGTCAGTTTAGTGCTTAGTGTACGAGTAGCGAATGGCGTGTGGTGAGTGGTGAGTGGCGAAAGGCTGTGAGTTCGCCAATGTTCGAATGTGTGATTGGTCAAGCAACTGTCATTGCCTTTGTCGGTTGTTTGTTCCTTTGATTTGTTGCGCTGTGAAAGTGTGCTGCCATGCCGAGTTTGTAGATGAGAAGAAAGGGGGAGAAAAGCAAGCAGTGTTGCACATGATGATCTCTTGTTGACTGCACGTGCAGCAAGAGGTCGAGGTCAATGGCTAATGGATAGGAACAGTAAAAATTTAGTACTGGCCATAGGTGTAAAAAATGTAGAAAGAGATTGTAAATATTAGAAAAAATAAGCATTTTTTATTTTAGGTTATGTATAATATTCGAAATTGTCGCGGTCGCCCCTCGTCAGAGAATGTCAACTCCTCCGTAGTGTATAAAGGCTCCTCGCAAAGAGACCATCAGCCGTTCGGAGGCGGCTTAGTATAAACTGTAGGTCCCTCAATTTGTAGGAAAAACACCAAGTTAGTTAAGTTTAAAGAGTGTGCTCGCCACCCCAAACACTAATCAAGCGCACTTAGGCTTGCCGACCCGTTGTGCGATACCTGTGCGGGGCCTGTGAAGGAGATACCGCTCACCTTACCAGATGCTCAAAGTACTTGGGGTGTTTTATGAAGTTCAGGCGATTAATAATGTCTAGAGACGTATTGGAGTTGACCCGGAAATTACCTAGCGAAGGCCCGTCACCCTTTCGGCGATCTAACCACGCTTAGGTCATCAGCTAGTTCTAGTTTAAGCACCGATTTTTCTCATCTATGTCAGTGCAGCTGCGGCAAAATGTGTTTGTGAAGCAGCCCATCCTTCTATCATTAGTCCCCATAAGAGAGCGTTCAGTTATTAAGCCGGTTGTTATGCTCATGGAGGCCCTGCCTAGATCCCTTCGATTAATGGTCAGATTTGCTCACTCTGCCATCTACATTTGGCTCTGTTGAAAATTAGTCTTAATAGATACTTTGCTGAGAAGGGCGGCATACCCACGTCATGTGCGGAGTTTTCCTAGTTATGACTGTTCCGTTGATAGTACCCCTTCCAGCTGGTTAGCTGCAAGGTCTCTGTCACCGATGAAGCCAAAAACTAACTCATTTAGATTTTCCTTCGTTGTTTGGCTGGTCGAAAGGGAAGGCTAAAGATCTTATCGCGAATTACCGAACTTAAGGCATTGGCTCATTCTGCTCGCCTGCTAGATGACTAATTAGATTTTCACTGCTCCTTGCAACTTTGTTCTTCTAATTATGGGTTCCTAAGTGTTTTGGTCTAGATTAATGTGAGTTTAGAGTTCAAGTTTTTTTTAATTTTCGGACGTAATCGCATATAACCTCATCTAAACTAGAAAAGAGGTCTTCTAATCTTCATACTTCCATTATCATTACTAAAACATTTTACAGGTAAAGACAGCAACGCGCTAAACACCTCCACCTGCTCCGATTCAGCAGTTACTCGACGGCGCCGCCAAAAGGTCAGCAACAATGTGAGCGCGGCGTCAACGCGACCAACAGCGGCCGGCAGTGAGAACAGGTTAAATCGCCTGAGCTTAGCAGGCACATCAGTATATGCGGGGCACCTCTCATCGCTGGTTTTTGGTAAAATCAAATCGTTGTGGAGCGTCAACTCTAACTCATCGGATGCGGGACTTAATCAATTCGCAGGCACGGATATTTTCCATGTTTCATCGTTCATTGTCTTGTTCTGCATGTTTTGTTGTGTGACGTGAGCTTCAGTTGGGCTCGTGTTTGCATGTTCGTTGTACTATTTTGCATGATTTCCTTCCTTTTTATTTTTTTTATATTTACTAATCGTTCCTTGCATGCCAGTGGTACACCATTCTTTTTTCATTACACAACAGTTGTAAGAGCTCTTTCTTCCTTCTTCTCTCCACAGGCAACGAAGATCATCCACTCACCGCCACCGAGAAGCAAAAAGATCAGCTGCGCGCCCGTCTTGGTCTGCTGCTGGACAGCGATCAGAATGGCAATACAAATACGACCACAAGCAGCAGCTCTTCGCAAAATGTCAGTCCCGAGCAGACGCTATCCGCCGGTTGTGCCAACGCTTTCGGCTCTCAACTCTCCGTCATCACCAAGGATGATACGCTCAGTTTGGCCGGCAAGTTGAATGCGCTCTCCGTGTCCACAGATAACAGCGAAGTGTTTCCAGTGAAGGCGCGCAAAACGGGTGTCCGTCGTTCAGCGCGCGCTGGCCAAATGGCGAATGCAGCGGGCAAACGTAATGCTATCTATAAACCAGCTACACTGCAGCCCGTGCAATTGGCATTGAAACCGCTCTTCTTCGAAGTGCCGCTACCCGAACCGGATCCACCATTTATTGGCCGTCAGTGGCTATTGCGTGAGCTCTCCAACATTTTAACCGGCACTGAGACGCCGGGTGTTTTGATTAATGGCAATCCGGGCACGGGTAAGACTGCGCTCATTCTGCAGTTGGTTGAGTACTCGTGTTTTGGACGTCGCAAGAACAGCAACAGCACCAGTGATCCCGATGGCATTTATTGTCCCATTAATCTTGGAAACGATCGCATACGCGCCTTGGCCGCACACATTGTCGGCTATCACTTCTGCCAGGCCGACTCGAATCTTACTTGCCTTGTGCCGGATTTCGTGCACTCATTGGCAGCACAACTTTGTCAAGCGCCACAGCTGGAAGCGTATCGTGAGTATTTGCTTAGCGAGCCACACCTACAGGACATACTGAGCGTGAAGGAGTGTATTGCGGATGCTGAGCGCGTTATGCGCATGGCTATTTTGGAGCCGCTGATTGTGCTAAAGCGCGCTGGCAAGATACCGACAAAAACTTGCGTCATACTCGTCGATGCTTTGTGCGAGGCGGAGTACCATCGTCCCGATCACGGCCACACAATCGCCACATTTCTTGCCAAAATGACGCAACACTTTCCGTCGTGGTTGAAGGTAGTCGCTACGGTGCGCACACAAATGCTGGAGTTCGTCAAGGGTTTGTCGTATACGAAGATGACGCTCGACAGCTGGGCCTCAAACGATTTGCTGCAGAAAGATATGCTCGACTATATCACATTCCGTGTGAATCATAGCGTGGAAATACAAAATAATATTGCGGCTGTGAAGGATCACAGCAGTGGGCAGCTGAAATTCGTTGGCCACTTGCAGGCACTGACGAAGGGTTCGATGTTGTATGCCAAGTTGATACTCGATCTCATTGAACGCGGCCAGTTGGTGATCAAGTCGACGAGCTACAAAGTGCTGCCCGTGAGTTTGGCGCAAATCTTCTTGCTGCACTTCAATCTGCGTTTTCCAACCAACAGCAGCTTCGAGAAGGCCGCGCCCATACTCAATGTCTGTTTAGCGGCGCTGTATCCGCTCACTCTGAATGAGATCTACTACACCATTTGCGCCATGAAGACCGACGAGGTGCTGACGTGGGATGAGTTTCTACAACGCTTCAAGCTGCTCGATGGCTTTCTTATACGTCGCATTGATAACACCTACATGTTCTTTCACTCCTACTTCCGCGAGTGGTTGATACGACGTGACGAGGGGGAGTCGTTGAAATTCCTATGTGATTTTCGTCTCGGACACGCCGCTATTGCCTTTCGTCTTTCTCGCATGCAAGCGCCGCTGGATCCGGAGCAAACTATGGAGCTGGGGCATCACATGTTGAAGGCGCACATTTATCGCAACTGTCAGGGTCCTCAACTACCGCGAGATATGCAATCGTTTTGGATCGCCACAGTCACCGATAATATATCCGCAGCGCTGGGCTCTTTACGCAATGTCTACAGCCCGAACTTGAAGGTCTCGCGCTTGATTTTGCTTGCCGGCGCTTCGCCACACTACCGCACCGAGTTTATGGGTGATGCCACAATACTTTGCATAGCCGCACACGAAGGTATTGTGCCTATGGTCAGTTTACTGCTCGAATTTGGCGCTGATGTGAGCCTCACTAATAGCCAAGGCTGCACACCCCTTATACTCGCCGCCATACGTGGCCATGCTGACGTGGTGCGCTTGCTCGTCGCGGCCGGCAGCAGTTTGGGTCAAACCGATACTACGCAACGTTGCGCGCTTGTGCATGCTGCGCGCACAGGTCGCTTGAATGTTGTGAAATATTTATTAGCCTGCGATTGGACGCCACGACCCAACTCGCATGATGTCAGTCTGACGGTGGCTTTGCAGCAATCACTTATCGCGGCCGCGGCACAAGATCATGTCACAATCGTTGAAGATTTACTAGAGATGGATGGCATTGATGTGAATCTCATGGACGAGGCGTGTGGCGATCTGCCATTAACGGCGGCAGCGTGTAATGGCTGTAGCGACGCGGTCGCTATACTACTCTCGAAAGGCGCACGCATCGACGCGCGTAACAAGCAAGATTTCACAGCGCTCTGGTTGGCAGTGAAGGAGGGCCATTGGGCGGTCGTGGAGAAACTAATACAAAATGGCGCTGATATCGACGAACCAGTGACGGCAGCGCGCAAAACGCCACTTATGATTGCCGCCGAGGAGGGTCATATTGAGCTGCTTGATTTGCTAATTGAACGCGGCGCCTCGCTGGAGGCACAAGATGAGGAGGGTTTCACCGCACTCTCGTGGGCTTGTTTGCGCGGTCGTCAACCAGCTGCCAAATGTCTCATGGAGCGCGGTTGTAATCGCAATCATGCTGATAACAACGGACGCACGCCGCTCGACTTGGCAGCCTATCAAGGCTCAGCCGCTTTGGTACTCTATCTGCTAGAGCAGGGCGCTAACATTGAACATATCGATGTGAATGGCATGCGACCGTTGGACCGCGCGATTGCCTGTCGCAATATACAAGTAGTGCAAGTATTCCTTAGACGCGGCGCTAAACTCGGTCCGACCACATGGAGCATGGCGATGGGCAAGCCGGAAATATTGGTGGTGCTGTTGAACAAACTGCTCGAGGATGGCAATGTGTTGTATCGAAAGAATCGCTTTCACGACGCCGCACATCGCTATCAATATGCGCTGCGTAAAATCTCATGCCTGGAGAATTTGCTGGAGCGTAGCGCGATCTTTGCGCAATTGCGCACCAACTTGTTGCTGAATCTGTCGCGTTGCAAGCGAAAGTTAAATGTGAGTACAGTAAAGTATTTTCCCCAAAGGTCGAATTATAATTCTCTTTTTTTTTCTTTTCTCTTTTCTACAGGAACTTGACGAATCTATCGATTTAGCCACGCAAGCCATCGCACAGAAACCGGCCAGCTATGAGGGTTACTACGCACGCTCCAAATCGCGCATGGAGAGTGGTGATTATCACGAGGCGCTCGTCGACTCCAACGAAGCTATGCAAAAGGCACTACAAAGTGGTGTCTCAGCTGATGTTGTCGAGGTGCTCAAACGTATACAGTCGGAAATATTGACGCACACGAGTGGGGAGGCAGCCGGTGCTGGCGTTGGTATGACGACGCGCTCCAATGCGAATGCGTACGAAGAGTACGCGCTCAGTTGTGCTGATTTAGGCGCTGTGGGCTTGCCGACAACGCAGAACGAGAGTTCGGATCTGTAGTGTGGTGACGAAGTGTGATGCCACGTTTAAACACTTCAGTTAATTTTTTTTTAATTTTTTATTTTTTTTTATTATTATTTTTTTTTTTTAATATTGTTTTTTTAACTCCTTTGTTTAACATCTAAGTTTACTTGGTGCACTGCATTTCTTTAAAATGGAGCTAAAGATTTGGCGCAGCCAGAATTATTTTTTTAAATGATTATAATTATTATTAAAATAAAATTGTTTAATATATTTTTTAGTTTACCTACATATATACACTCATACATATCTACTTATAAAATATTAAGTTTACATTTGAAATGCCTTGTATTTATTTGTGTTTCTGTGCTTTACTATTTAGTGCAAAGAAGTAAAGTAATTTAAATATACAACACTTTTAAGTATTTTATATTATTTAAAAAAAAATTAATTTAATATAAAGAGAAAATTTCTCTCTTCTCTGCTCCCTAAAACATTGTCAATTAAGTATTTTTCTCTTTTGCTTTTCCCTTTTATGTATTCACTCTCATTTTTTAAACTTTTCCTGCATTTCGCTCTCAAATAATTTCTTACAAACATATACATATGCATATACACTATAATACTTAAGCAATTGATAAAAATAAAAACAAAAAATTAAATTAAAAAATAAAAGTCCATTGAACTCATCTTCTGCATGTAAAAAAAAACATTTAATTGTATTTTATTTTATAGACATTTTAAAATCGCCTAAAAATTGTGAAATTGAACAAATTATAAGAAGAAGAAAAACTAAGTATAAATTTTGTGTTTTATTTAAAAAAAAATACACTTAAAACAAGACAAAATCATACATTTGAAGGCAGGAGAGCAAATACAGCAATTAGCAAGTATTTTGTTTTTGCTTTAGCGTAGCGGCTATCAAAGTTGTGGGAAATTAATTTGTCTCCTTCTTCTCGTGTCGGTCTCCACCTTCTTCAAACGGAGTGCATGTGTTCCTTTACCTCTGCTTCCACTTGCGGGAACTGCATCGAAAACTTTCAAGACTACTCTGTCTTGACCGCTGTCTCTTCATTAATTTCATTGCATATTCTTAAACCTCATCGTTCCTTCGGCTGTGACATTCGCTATTGTTAAAGTATAGAAGGCCATAAATCCTTTAAAAAACCTTCTTCGTGATAACTCTCAAAGTCGACTCATCAGATGTCGTCGTCCATGCCTTTACGCCCTTTAGCAGAAGACGGGTATGATTTGCGACTTGTGAGAGTTTAGTATTTGTTCGTCCAGAGAGAGAACTTACGGCACAATTGTTTGACACCACTTGTACATGATTGTTTGGCATTTGTTTAAATGTTATTATTATTATTTTTTTAATTTTCTCCAATGTATTAAAAATGGTAAATTTTATAGGCATTTCTTGCTATAACTCCTGCAGATAAAAAGGTCTCACTGGGAAGATTTCCGTGTGCTTATATTATAAAACCAATATTATAAAATTTGCTAATAATTTTAAATGTACAAAATATTACTAAAATCGTACCCACTTCACTAAAATACCTATAGTTAGTATTATAGTTATTGTAAAAAAGTGAATATTTATTTGGCAGCGTAGTTTTGAATAAATTCGTATGGATTAAAGCAAAAAGCCTCTTGATTCAATCACAAAAATCGGGAATACACAAAATCTAGAAAGAAAAAAATTAATTAATAGTGATTTAAAAACAAAGAAGCACCAACCAGATATTTAGGAAAATATTTAATTTTATTTTATTTAATTTTCCCACTTTTTTATTTAACTAATTTATATTATATTATTTTTACTTCATTTTATTAAATTTAATAATTATTTTATTTCCTTCTTTTTATTTTTCCTTTTTTTGTTAAATTCTTATTTAATTTATTTGCTTTTTTATTTCGAAATATTTTGCTTTAAATTATTTTTTTGTTAAATTATAGCTTAAATTATTTCATTTTTTATTTGGTAAATTTTTACTTTAATTTATATTGCTTTATTCTATTTATTTTTTTATTTCTTTTTATTTTTTATTTTTTCATGTAATTTTAATTTATTTTAATCTATTTTATTTAATTTTATTTGATTTATTTTTATACTGTTTTTTTTATTTTATCTTCCTTTATTTAATTAAAATTTTATTTGTTTGTTATTTTATTTTATTTTTTTTTAATTGTATTTCATTTCATTTCATTTTATCTCCCCTTATTAATTTAATTTTTTTTTTTTTAATATCATTTAACTTTATCTCCCTTTATTGAATTTTTTTTATTTTATTATATTTTAATTTATATTATTTTACTTTAACTTATCGGGTTTGATTTTATTTTATTTTATCTTCTTTTATTTAATTTAATTTTTATTTGTTATTTATTTAATTTTATTTGTTTTTTTTTCATTTTATTTTATTTTACCTTTCCTTATTGATTAATTTTTATTTATTTTTTATTTACAATAATATCATTTAATTTAATTTTATTTTATTGTATTTTAGTTTATATAATTTTTTATGATGTTTTATTTCATTTTAATTAATTTTTTTTATTTATTTTATTTAATTTAAATTTAGTTTAATTTATGTAATATTATTTTATTTTATTTTTTTTTAAATTTCATTTCATTTTATCTTCCCTTATTAATTTAATTTTTATTTATTTTTTTTTAATATCATTTAACTTTATCTCCCTTTATTGAATTTTTTTTATTTTATTATATTTTAATTTATATTATTTTACTTTAACTTATCGGGTTTGATTTTATTTTATTTTATCTTCTTTTATTTAATTTAATTTTTATTTGTTATTTATTTAATTTTATTTGTTTTTTTTTCATTTTATTTTATTTTACCTTTCCTTATTGATTAATTTTTATTTATTTTTTATTTACAATAATATCATTTAATTTAATTTTATTTTATTGTATTTTAGTTTATATAATTTTTTATGATGTTTTATTTCATTTTAATTAATTTTTTTTATTTATTTTATTTAATTTAAATTTAGTTTAATTTATGTAATATTATTTTATTTTATTTTTTTTTAAATTTCATTTCATTTTATCTTCCCTTATTAATTTAATTTTTATTTATTTTTTTTTAATATCATTTAACTTTATCTCCCTTTATTGAATTTTTTTTATTTTATTATATTTTAATTTATATTATTTTACTTTAACTTATCGGGTTTGATTTTATTTTATTTTATCTTCTTTTATTTAATCTAATTTTTATTTGTAATTTATTTAATTTTATTTATTTGTTTTTTTTTTTAATTTAATTTTATTTTATCTTTCTTTATTGATTTAATTTTTATTTATTTTTTATTTACAATAATATCATTTAATTTCATTTTAGTATATATATTTTAGTTTATATTATTTTTTATGATGTTTTATTTCATTTTAATTTTTTTCAATTTATTTTATTTTATTTGAATTTAGTTTTATTTATGTAATAATATTTTATTTTATTTCTTTTTAATTTTGTTTCGTTATACTTTATCTTCCTTTATTAATTTAATTTTTATTTATTTTTTATTTAATATTATTTAACTTTATCTCCCTTTATTTAATTTTTTTTAATCTTAATATATTTTAATTTATATTATTTTACTTTAATTTAATTTAATTTTACTTTATTTTATTTTAATTTACTATATTTGATTTCATTTTATTTTATATATTTTTATTTTTTTAATTTTATCTTCATATATGTAATTAATTTTTTTTTAATTTAATGTATTTTTTTTAAGTTATTTCATTTTTTTTATTTATTTTCATCTTATTGCATTTGATTTCATTTTATCTTCCTTCATTAATTTTATTTTTATTTATTTATTATTTAATATTATTTAACTTTATCACCCTTTAATTAATTTTTTTTAGTCCTAATATATTTTAATTTATATTATTTCACTTTAATTTATTTGATTTTATTTGATTTTGTTTAATTTTATTTAATTTTAATTATTATATTTGATTTCATTTTATTTTATATATTTTTATTTTTTTTTTTAATTTTATCTTCCTATATGTAATTTAATTTTTATTTGTTTTAAATGTAATTTTTAATGTAATTTTTTTTTAATGTTATTTCATTTAATTTTTTTTTTTCATTTTATTGCATTTGATTCCATTTTATCTTCCTTTATTGATTTTGTTTTTTTGTTTTTTAAATATTATTTTGTTTGATCATATTTTAATTTATATTGTTTTTCGTGATGTTCTGTTTAATTTTAGCTAATTATATTTTATTTCATTTTATTTTATTTTTCCTATTTAATTTTATGTGAATTTAGTTTAATTTATTTAATATTATTTTATTTTATTTTATAAACCTTTATTTCATTTAATTTATGCATATTTTTTTGTTTTATATTATTTACTTATTTATTTATTTGATTAAAAACGCCGAAGTATATATAAGTTTCACGTTATATACCTATTTTGCTTGTCATTTATTAAAATTCAAAAGTCTTTATAAAACAAATTTTCATGAAAGAACATACATAAATACAATATGTATATATATATATATTTAACTACCATTAAGTGCTTAAAAACTTACTTTACAAAATGATGAAATGTTTGAAGTGTTAAAAAAATGTGAATGTACATACATATATGTACATATGTATGCATGTATAATAAAGTGTTCGTCAAACATAAAAGTGAAATCCACAAAATCTTTAAATCCATTAAACATCATATTTTAGTAAATATTTCTTTTACATTAATATTTTTATAAAAAAAAAAATTGTCTTGGATGTAAAAATACTTATAACAGCATTAGCCAAACATTTAAATAATAACATAAGAGAGACATTTCTTAAAATAAAAACCAAATATGCTTATAAGCATATTTTTAATTAAAACAAAAATCATACTAAAACTTAAAAATAGTACATGTACATAAATCCTAAATATAAAACTACAAATGACCTCCACCGCCACCGCCACTGCCATCCAACGTCATGGCATCACCACCATTTACTTTATTTTGTGCGTTTATTAGTGGGATGGTAACTTGCAAACGATGATCATCGATTGAAGCCGCTGAGAGTAGTTTTGGAAAAAGCAAAAAAAAAATACAAAAACACACAAAAGCACATAAATATATATTGTAAAAATAAGGTTAGGTTTTAGTAAAAAAGACATACTAATATTTGAGGTTAATTGGCACAACTATATTTAGGATTTTTTTGTTTTTCGAACAACTTACTGTTATCTAGTATATATTCCAAATCATCTGGCGTTTCTATGGTATGAAAATCACTATTTGTCGATTCTTTCAAGATGACACAGATCTCTTTCGATGCTTTCAACAGGAAGAATGGCACAAAACTGCTTGCCAGCTCTTTATTTAAAGCACCCATGCCACGTGCGGCGGTGAAATCGAGTTCTGTGTTGTTGAAAAATTATGTGAATTAAATTTTAAAATAAAAAATTGAATATTTCTCAACACACACCATGCATATTAGAGCAGTCCAAGACCACCGGCGCAGTACCATGCATAGCGACCGCCTTTGAAATACCGGTGCGTACCCATTCAATGGCCGGGAAGTAGAGTGAACTGTGTATGGGACGCATGAGTATGTAGTCAGTGCCATTGGTGGTCTGAAGTATTTGGGAAAAGAAAAAAAAGTTGCAAAAAGGTATGCATTCCCTCTAAAGCAGTGAGTAGCTGGAGTATTTACCCTCAATTTCGAGACAGTAAGCGCCGGTCTGGCCGCACGATAAACCAAATATGCAACATCCACGCCAACACCCAACAATAAACCGAGCTCCACGCCGATTGCCAGACTTATGACAAACGTTATGGCGCCGGGCAGTAATTCACGGCGACTACAACGCCACAATGGTTTGATGACCTTAAAAGGGAAAGACGGATGAATTAGAAAAAGTAATTTTAAAATTTCTAAATTCATTTCATTCTTTTCTTTGGCGCTCACCTCAAATTCAATCATGAAAATCACGGCCGATATAATGACCGCACTCAGCGCAGCCTTTGGTATGTACTGAAAGTATGGCGCTAGCAAACCAAGCGCCAACAACACCAACGCACTTGTGTAGAAGCCACCAATGGGTGTGCGCACGCCGCTGGCATGATTTACTGCGCTACGTGAAAAGGAACCCGTAACGGGCATTGAAGAGAAAAACGAACCAACAACATTGCAGAGCGAGAGCGCAACCAATTCACGCGTTGGACTTATGCCTGCGCTGCTGAAAGCCTTCGATATGGCAACATTGCCGAGCACCGCTATTATAGGCAATATAATCATTGAGGGTCCGAGTTCTTTAAACTGATAGAAGGTGGAAAATAAAAATTTAATGAATTCTCCACAACAAAGCGAATCTTCACTTACCATATCCAAATAATCCTGGTCAATGGCAGTGCCATTTGCTGCTTGTATTGTTGTATGGAATTTTGGCACTTCAACATCTGGAAACCCGCTTTTCACTTTACCCGTCAATACGAAAGGACACGACTCTTGTGTCTCACATGTATTATAAGCCAAGACGCTAGTGATGAGCACAATTAGCGCATTTCTTCCGGTTGCGACGACCCAGAGTGTACCGCTGAGTATGCGACGCCCAGGGATTTTGACATCTTTTAGTTTCTAGAAAGAATATAGTAGGAAAATATTACAGTTGAGTTAAGACTGCATTTCAACTTAGGTCTTAGGTAATGAATCAATCCGAAGCCTCTCTATAGTAATGTGTAGCTCGAGACTTACAAGGCAATCCGGGAGACGGTCACAAATTACGCCCCAACAACCCACTCATGAGGCTCTAACAAGACGCAGCTACAAACCTGTTGGAACACCGCCTTGAGGAACGTAACAGAAAACCTTCTCATGTCATCTAAGTGTCACACTGAACCATCTGTGCTGTGTAAGCAACATCTTGTCCTTTCTATTGGGATGCTATGTAGGGATAAATCTTGCAGATATTTGCTAAAAGCGAACGAACTAACAACAATTATCCTCTCCCATCGGAATCCAAGCGCAACTAACAGTAGAAAAAGAGCTCTAGTTGCCTCACGTGGTCCGAATAATGAGCACAATTAATGTCTGCATATTTTAGTAGACTCAGCTGCTACTTATCGGGACTCGACCATGATATTACCTAAGTAACATACGGTCTGGAGTCGACGACTCCACGGACGATACTTACTACCTCTTTGCATGCCTCCTCTCATCTAATACATCTCTCTGAGACCGTGCAAACAGCTCGTTTCTTGGGCCTCGCTCCTCGAAGACATCGGCATTAGACTTACTGGGAGTGGTAGGACTCAATTATCATCGGTAGGGCGTGCTAGTCGTAAGAAACCTGTAGTTCCCACATGTGGATTTCTACCCGGCGTAAAACTGTTGAGTTCAACATTATCCAAAAACTAATTTGGGTACTACTTTTGCAGTTACAATGCCCTCAACCCGTAGACACTCTACGTGCATTTAAATACTCACCCGCAGTAAAAGCAATATGGTAATGGCAGTAATGCCCAATGTGAAATCGCCATAGCGTATTTTATCTAAATTCGTAAAAACAGATTCCATTGTTTTCATAAAACCCGAACCTCCGCCGCCGCCTCGAATGCCTAGAAGACCCTAAAAAGAAAAAAGAATGTTAAGACATACATACATACGAGTACAGTGTTATAAGAAAAACAACAACTCACCTTCAGCTGCGAGGTGCCAATAATGACCGCTGTTGCTGAGGTGAAACCCACAGTCACTGGCAGTGAAATGAGATCGACTAGTGCGCCTTTACGGAGACAAGGAAGACAAAATAAAATTTTAAATTTTATATACTCTTATTTATGTACCAATTAACTGTGTATATATGTGTGTCAACATACCCAAACGCAGCACAGCCATAAGAAGCTCCACAAAACCGGAGATTAAGCATAGTAATATTGCATAAGCTGGACCAGAGTTCAGACCAAAACTCGTATGACGACTAGTCATCAACGCTAAGAGTGCTGTGGGACCAATGGTAACCTGACGACAACTACCCAAAAAGGCATACACAATACCACCCACGAATGCGGAGTAGAGTCCATACTAAAATATTCAACAATAAATAATTATAACACTAAAATTTTGGGGGATAATTTTTTTGAAATACACACCTGCGGTTCCAAGCCCGCCAAAGTGGCATACGCTAAACCCTGTGGCAATACTGTCAAACCCACGGTGATGCCAGCAATTAGATCCGCCACAGCATCTTGCGCCGTATAGCCATGTAACCACTTAATACCGGGCAATAGCCGGTAAGCGACGTCGACTGGCTTCATGACTTAAAGGTACTGAAATAAAAAAATTGATTTTGTTTGTAATCAGTTATATTGCTTTTAGAGGTTAAATGTAGCAATTTAAAATTTTAAAATGTAATTCTTAATCATAGACTCGCATCACACTTAAATGTTACACATTAATTCAGAGCAATTTAAAAAATGTGCTTATTAATTTTGATTTTTTTTTAAATGTCACTTGAAATTGTTGTGCAGCGATCGTCAGGTTTAGTGTTTGACTATTTCTGCTCAGTCGTGTGTTCGAAGCCAAAGAGAAGCGGAAACTGCTAAAAAAATTTTATTTTATTTTATTATTATTTTATTTTATTATTATTTTATTTTATTATTATTTTATTTTATTATTATTTTATTTTATTATTATTTTATTTTATTTTTCTTTCATTCTATTTTATTTTATACTATTTTATGTGATTTTATTTTATTTTATTTTATTTTTTTAATATAATAGCTTTTTCTTTTACTTTAATTTATTTTATTTTATTTTTCTTTCATTCTATTTCATTTTATACTATTTTATGTGATTTTATTTTAATTTTTTCTGCCTTATCTTATTTTATTTATGTACCTTATTTTTTATTTTTTATTTTATTCTATTTCATTTGATTCTGCTTTGTCTTATTTTATTTAATTTCATTTTACTTTTTTATTTTATTTTATTTTTTCTCTTTTATTTTGTTTTTTTATTTTTTATTGTAATTTCTTTATTTTATTAAATTTTATTCTACTTTATTTGATTTTATTTTATTTTGCTTTGTCTAATTTTATTTAGCTAATATACTTTATTTTATTTTATTTCGTTTTATTTGATTTTTTTAAGTTTTTCTATTTTATTTTATTCCGTTTCATCTCATTTTATTTTAATTTATTTCATTTTATTTTATTTGAATTGATTTTATTATATTTTATTTTGTCTATTTTATTTAATTTTATTCATTTTGTCTTACTTGATTTTAATTCATTTCATTTTATTTGAATTGATTTGATTTTGTTTTATTTTATTTTATATGATTCTTTTTAATTTTATTTATTTTATTTTATTTATTTTATTTTATTTTTTTTATTCTATTTTTTTTATTTTATTTTTTTTTTTATTTCATTTTATTTGATTTATTTTTTACTTTATTTCATTTTATTTTATTTAATTTCATATTATTCTGATTTATTTAATTTAATTTAATTTAATTTTTTAACTTTATTTTATTTTATATTATTTTATTTTATTTCATTTTATTCTGATTTATTTAATTTAATTTATTTTTTTACTTTATTTTATTTTATATTATTTTATTTAATAATATAATTATTTGTTTTACTTTATTTTATTTTATTTTTTTTTTTATTTTATATTATTTTATTTTATTTCATTTTATTCTGATTTATTTAATTTAATTTATTTTTTTACTTTATTTTATTTTATATTATTTTATTTAATAATATAATTATTTGTTTTACTTTATTTTATTTTATTTTTTTTTATTTTTTTTTTATTTCAATTTATTTGATTTATTTTTTACTTTATTTTATTTTATTTAATTTCCTTTTATTCTGATTTATTTAATTTAATTTTTTAACTTTATTTTATTTTATTTTATATTATTTTATTTTATTTCATTTTATTCTGATTTATTTAATTTAATTTAATTTAATTTTTTTAACTTTATTTTCTTTCATTTTATTTTAGTTTTTTTCGTTTTATTTTATTTCATTTTAATTCATTTTATTTTATTTCCATTTTATCTTATTTGTTTTTAATTTATTTAATTTTATTTTAATTTATTATATATAAATATGTATGTCATTACAACTATAGATATTTCGAGAGAAGTTTGGCCGAATAACTGTCAGCGTATGAGCTTTAAAGTTATGCTTTGCGTATTACAGATCGCATTCACTCATCACTTAATTATTATGAATAGTTATAGCAGTTGCGTATGTTCATGTCTCCAATTATTTATTGCACACTTCTGAATGAAACTTTTTAAATAAATTATTGCACTATTGTAGTTCAAAATAGTAATAATACGTGTCTGTCTCTATTGTTGCATACTTTACAGTCGGTCGTTTGAGTTTGTTAAATTCTATTTATAATAATTAACAATTATTTACAATTCCAATTGTACGAGTATAGTTATATATACATATATATGTACATATTTACTATATGTGCATATTGTACGAGTGAAGTTACTGTGATCAGCTTGAAATCTTATCTATTAATGTATTATACTCGATATGGATTATCATATAGTTAAGCTCATAAATGTTATGTTATAATAATTTTGTATTGATTATTATATACAATTTACTATTTAAAGACATTTTTAGCGGAATTTATAGCACTTGCCTTTAGTTTTATATTGCAATTTAGTTTATACTATTAATTCTTTTTTATTAAATTCAACTACTATAAACTGACAATGGCTTCGTCTTAGCAGTTTTTCAAAGGCGAGCTGAGAACTATTTAAAAGAAATCAGTCAAATAAAGATTCAAAAGTTCGAATTTGTAAGTCAACGGCCATTTAGTCTTGTCTTCAGAACGCCTGAAGACCTAGTAGATACATTAAAATCCAATGTTTTGAAAATATTTCATCAAAACCCCTTGGCTTTTTGCCAGTTAAATGCCAAAGTTTTATCTTCTAAAGAATTGTCGAAGCACAACTCGTAAACATATTTTAACTTATTTCCATTCTGAAGTTCATTTTATTTGTTGAGATTTTTTCAGAAATCATATTTAATTTAGTTACCAGCTGTCAGAATTATACTATTGTGAACAGCACAAGCGGATCAAATTCAAAATAGCGCCAACCGATTAATCCATTAATTCGATAAATATCACAAATAAATGATTCTTATCATCAGATAAGTTTATGAACATTAAAGTAAGCATTTCTCTTTAAATTACGTAAGAATTTAATGAACAAATGAAATATAGAAAATGAAGAGCGAGTAATAAAATCAATAGTTTATGTGCATACACTTTTTATATTTTTGATTCTTTTTGTGGATTTTTATTAAAAAAAAAACTCTATAAATACACTTTAAAAATTTGTACAAAAATGATATTTGGATGCACTGTTTGTGAAGTTCAACACCTAACAACACAGCATGCATTTCAGTTTTGGTCTTTGTGGAAAAACTTTTCCAATATCTCTTCTTGTCGCGATTTTCATAAGCTTTTATTGAATTTGTTTAACAATTTGGTGATTTCTGGTTGGAGAAAATGAAGTGCAAAATTCGACAATTAGCAAAGAGCGTATATTTCGAAACTAGCTTATAGGGGAGACAGATTACAAATATTAGCTGCATGAGAAGGCTTTATTTGCATTAACACGTAAATTATCTTCTTCTAAATGCGGATATGCAGGCATTAAAATTTCATGCATTTGAACTGCTTTTGAAATTTTCAATATGATAATGTTGAATTATTTAACGGTATTTACTGTTATGAATGAAAGAATTTGCATTCGCTGCTGTCAAAAGAAGTTATAAGTCTGTTCGGCGAAAATGTCAGTAAGAATTATCTAACAACGAAATGTCTAAATTACGTTCCCTTTCAATGCAAAGTTTACTGAATTTTTGTCTCCCCGAACACGATTCAGCAACAATTATTCTGCCCATCATCTCACCGAACAGAACTATAGACACAGAAGATGAACGTTGGAAAAATAAATCATAAAGTCTTGGCTTATGTTAGCAAATGCACCAATTAAGTTTACTTTTTGCCAATAATTTAGCTGCTAATCATTTTTTATTTCTCCCTTATAAGCTCTATGTTGGGGCTCAGCTAATGTGCTGTCTGTCAAGAGTAAAAATCGAATTCGCATTCGAGCCACTTAATCAGCTGGTCCGTCTTCCCAATTTTATTATCGGGTGGTTTAGATGCTAAATTTTCGATGAGGAAACACCAAATATTTTTAAAATAAAAATTTCGTTGCAATTAAAATCATGACAGCGTAGACAGACGGCAGGCTTAATCCTAATTAAGTGCACATTTGATATAAACCAAGTTTTTACGTGACAGACAGCAGTGATGGTAATTATTGAACAGCTGATTTGTATTCTGGTTATAGTTTTAGTATGATAGATAAAAAGTGAATATATAGATAGAAGGCAAACAAACATTGTGATTGCTAGCTTAATAGTTGGTACAAAACCTCTTATTAATTCATTAACAAAAGATAAAAATGCCTCAATTAGTTGAAAATACGTGCACATATATAATTGATGAGCATGGGAGTTTTGAGTAAATTTCTTCGTATATTTTATTGATAATATTTATGCAAACAATTTTTAACTCTTTTTTCATTCACAATATGAAAAAGACATTAGCTCTATTTCTTTTTGACAGTTATGTTTGGAGTTAAAAACGGAATTAGCTACGATCTAAAACATAACCGATAGCAAAAAATCGATTATAGTTGGTAACATATTTATGACTACTTTTAATTGAAGAAGAAGAAGGTTCTTAATTTATGTCGTTCGCATTGGTGCTGACGTTTTTTTACGTTTATCGCTGATGATTTCACACTTCATTGTTAATTTAATTTCATTTTTTCCTTAAATTTAAAATATTTTAGGGTTCTCTATTGCTTGATTGTTAGTTTTTCAACGGTTTCATTTTTTTTTTTTAATTTTCAAAAAATAAGACTTATGCATTTATGATTGACTGGTTAGCAAATTCGCACGCTTGTTTCTGCTAGTAATTACAAAAAAATACAAAGTGTAAGCAGAATTTGTTATTAACAACAAGTTGTTATCAAATCGAATTAACGAGCGAGATTCTGAAATGCTGAACTAATGAAAAATTTTGCACATTAATATATTTTAGATTCATTTTCCAAACAGGCTGCAATGCACTTTTATACTGATTTCACTATTTATTATATAATTTAGTGATTTTTTTCCTTTTTTTTTATTTTTAATTTTTTTTTAGTATTAAGTATGCACACATCAAACTTTCAACATTTCAATCATAGTAAGTGGACTCACTATGC